CCCCCCCCCCCCCTCATAGTTCCCCTTTAAGAGATCTTTTTGAGATGAAGTTGGTCTGTCGGTAGAGGAGAAAACTTAAGATCAGGATCGGTTTCATCTGAAGGAAGGAGGATCACGGCTTCAAATAGTGTGAGGAAGGAGGTTAATCCTACAAGAAGCGTTTTGAGACCCAAGGGTCTGAGCACGGAGGTGAGAGGCTTGTTTAGCAGAGCACTGGTATTTTCTGTCAGCACTGCAGCAAAGGATTACATTTTTTTTTTTCATGCAAAACTGGTTTAAAGGAGAACTATGGGGTCAGTGTTTTTCCCCATAGTTCTCCTTAGGGTAACGGGAGGACACAAACTAGCGTCCTCCCGTTACCCTAAGCTCAGTATACCGCGAGCTACAGCTCGCGGTATACTGAGACGCCGCAGCCGGAGCGGATCCCGACTTAGATGACGGGATCCGCCCAGCTGCGTGAGTGACAGCTGGCTCTGCCTATCTAGAGGCAGAGCCAGCTGTACCCACCCCCTCCCCCATCCATTCCGCCAGTCAGCGCTGGCAGATCGGAGCGGGGAGAGGGGAATCCAGCCCCTCCCCTGTCACGGCAGAGAGCCGTGACAGGATCGAGAGGTGAGCGAACGCCGGTATGTGTTCACTCACCTCCCGATCTACTGAGCCGACCTGTGACAGTCTCATTGTCACAGGTCGGCTAGAACTATGAGGTGAGTGAAAAGCACTCGCCTCATAGTTCTCCTTTAAGGATCATACACAAGAAATCACAGGAGTGGACAGAGTGACACACAAAGAAAGACTAAGAATACACATTTGTTTTCTGTTTTATTTTATACATCAAGGGGTCTACTCACAAAGCTGCCGAAGGATCTAGCCGTAGCCTCGGCGGATCCTTCGGCCCCAGGACCCCTTCGGTTCAGTAGTACCGAAGGGCTTCTATACGGGCTATTCACTATAGCCCGTACAGCTCCCGAAGTTGGCCGAGCGGTTCAGTCGAGCCGAAGGCATATGCTTCGGCTGGACTGAGCTCACTTCACTGCGGGTCGGTTATTCACACGGCTGCCCTCGGCAGCTTTGTGAATAATCCCCTTAAGACTTGAGAGAGCTGTCTGCATTTAATGATTTCATGGACAGTTTGTTTCAATGATGTGTTTATCACACTGACACGGGACGTTTGCTACTTTGTCACTTTTGATACTTTTTTTCAAAGATAATTACCTTTCACTCAGCAGTTGATAAGAAGATTGAATTTGAATATTGTTTTCACAGAAGTATTGTTCACTGTTATATTTGGTTTTTGCACACATTATTTGTTTACTGCGTTGGGTGACAGCCGGGGGCGGATTTCCCACAAGGCCAACCAAGGCCGGGCCTTGGGGCACCAGGGAGTAGAGGGGCAGCAGGGGTGTGGAATTCCTATCTCCCAATGCCTGGGACATGCATTGCCGGGCAGGTAGTAGTTTTCTACATTTAGCCCTGCTTTGGGCACGCAGAGCTAAATGTACAGCGGGGAAGCCGCCGCTTGTTTTGTACAAGTGATCTCAGCGATGTCGCCAAGATCACTGGTACGCAGCCTGCATACAGGGATTGAGGAACCTGGCCTTGGTGCAGCAGAGAGAGTAAATCCGACCTTGGTGACAGCAACGCTTCACATATTTGAATGATATTTATGCAGGCTCAAGCAGCCAGTTCAAAGGAGAACTTTGAGGTGAGTGCTTTTCACTCGCCTCATAGTTCTAGCCGGCTTGTGACAATGAGACTGTCACAGGTCGGCTCAATAGATCGGGAGGTGAGCGAACACATACCGGCGTTCACTCACCTCTCGATCTCGTCACGGCAGAGAGCCGTGACAGGGGAGGGATGGGATTCCCCCCTCCCTGCTCCGATCTGCCAGCGCTGACTGGCGTAACAGACGGGGGAGGGGGCGGGTACAGCTGGCTCTGCCTCTAGATAGGCAGAGCCAGCTGTCACTCATGCAGCTGGGCAGATCCAGACAGAATTGTCGGGATTCCGCTTCAGCTGCGGCGTCTCAGTATACCGCGAGTTACAGCTCCCTATATACTGAGCCTAGGGTGACAGGAGGACGCTAGTTTGTGTCCTCCAGTTACCCTAAGGAGAACTATGGGGAAAAGCCCTAACCCCGGAGTTCTCCTTTAAGTGAGCAGCAGTAAGGAGGAACACCCAGTTTTTTTTTTTAAGAGTAATTGAGCGCAGAAGTCTCGGTTAGAAAATGTACATTTTATACACGAGCACACAGGAAACCAGAACAATAGACAAGAAAGGGAATGAGTTTTATTGCTGAAACAGTGGTAACAACCCGTGTCCTTTGAGAATAGCTTCAAAGTTAAAAACTTTTCCATAATTGTGCCCCTAAAAATGTGCACACCCCTTTCTATGCGCACAGCATTTAAAAATGAAATAAAGACACTTAAATATTGTTTTATAGAGATATTTTTCTTCTGTTTGACATTACAGACTGCAAGAATATATCCATTGTATGTACAGGAATATATAGCCAGTCAGAGCATAAAATGTACAGTGTTCAGTATTCAAATCCATATCTACATATTTACATTCCGTATAAGTTAAGGGAAAAGAGTTTTACTTACATAGAAAGTTTTTACTCTTGTGCTTTGTAAACTATAGGAAACTTTTCTTTAGGCAAAAAAACTGACTACAAATCCCGGATGGAACTATTTTAGGCATTAAAGGAGTATTCAAACGAGTGAAGCCTTCAAGACCTTCCAAATCTTCTGGTTCCACTGGTTTTATAACAAGCGATATCGATGAAATAACGGCCGAACTGAAGAAAATAAGCTTTGTGAATTGACCCCATTGTGCTTTGGATACAAGGCAGTCCTGTTTCATCAGACAGTCAATTATTGCAAACCTAAAACTGTCCACATATACTCAGCACTCTATTCCAACGCAGCAAAAATCTTCTGGACATATTGCACTCTTATAATATTCTCTGACTAGAAGCCGATTGGTCAGAAGAGGTCGTTCCCTGAAGCCCCCCCCCCGCAGTAAAAACGTCCATGTTCTGACTTGGTTGCTGGACCTGTAAGGTGAAACACTTGCATCTAGTGGTCACTGTCCGTATTACACCCCATTGGCACTGGCTTTTGCCTGAGGGAACAAGAGAAGTGACAACGGAATGAAATGAATGTACTGACACAGGAATGGATCACAATGAACACTTGTCAGAGGCACCATCCAGAATCTTGTCTTTGTTTGCCGGTCGAAGGGACCAATGTGGCCCCGAAATGTTGTTTGCTTTGCGATATTATGAACTTGTGCCAATTAACTGCTTGCCGTCCGCCAACTGTAAATACACGGGCAGACGGCGGAGGCTTACGGCGGGTTGACGTGCCTGTATGGCATTTTTTGTGTCTGGCCGCAATCCCGCCGGGCATGCAAACAGCCGGTACCGGCTGTTACATACAAGCGTTCGGCCAGCTCTACAGCCAGCCGATTGCTTGTATTACACCGTACAGTGTCGTGTCGCCCCAGTCTGGTCTGGTGGTAATCTGGATGTGGTGTGAATGGGCCCTAAGAGACCCCTCTTATGTCTCCATAAAGAGGACCTGTCATTGTATATTGGATATCACATAGGGGGCTTGTTAGCCCCCTATGTGATAGCAATAAAGTAAAAAAAAAAAAAAAAACACCCAAAAGAACAATGACTTCGGACTCATACACCCACCGTGCTTCTGCATGCACTTCTGGTTCTGCAAGTCCTAAACCCAAGAGCATTCCCCAACTCCTTATTGGCTGAATCAGCGTGGCAGCCAGTCAGCTAGAATTTTCAGAAGGAAGGGCCAGAAACGGAATTCTGCATTGTTCCCTCATCAGAAGCGTACTCTAGTAGCACGGGTTACCCTTTGTATACTTACACCTTCCTTTGCTGGCAGGGCGGAGTCATGTGCAACAGATTTGGAGGCGATATCTTCATCCTGTGCCAACAATAAAAACAAAGAGGAAGGAAAGGGAACAATATCAGGCCGATGCTGAGCAGTTAAACAGGTATGGCTGCATTACCGTATTTGCCGGCGTATAAGACGACCCCCTACTTTTTGTGTTAAAATATAGGTTGTGGGCTATACTCGTCGTATAAGACGAGTAAAGCCCAAAATAATGTTTCATTGCACCCACTAACATCCATGGCGGTATTCCCGAGTGTGGCTCGGGGTTAATTTTCAGTACCATAAGCGGTAAACCCGAGCCACACCCGGGATTACAGTCTCTCACCTTGTCCACGATCCCCGCAGCGTCCTCCATCTTCCGGGTTCCGTCCTTCAGCTACATACAGTATACCGCGCTGAGCCAATCACGGCAGGCTTTGTAATTATTAATACAGGCTTTGTATTAATGAATACAAAGCCTGACGTGATTGGCTCAGCGCGGTATACTGTATGTAGCCGAAGCTACATACAGTATACCGCGCTATTCGTACCACATACGAACAGTATACCCGGAGTATAAGACGACCCCCAATTTTCGGGTCTAAAAACCCGTCTTATACGCCGGCATATACGGTATATTAAAAAAGGGGCCCCGGTAGACCTGCAACCGTCATGTTTACTGATAAGATGTACATCCTACTACGGGGCCACTAACGTCCATGTAATGGGATCAGCCCGCATATGGAAAAGCCTTCTTCATGACATGATCTACATACAGAAGCATGTCACCTGTTTCATGACCTACTTGGATAAAACCGAGCACATGTATTACTTCTACACAGTGCCCTTCACTGGGAAACAATATACAATCATGACTACGAAATACAGGATCAGTCTAATATATGAAAGCTGATCTCCAGGCTTACCTTGCATCTTCCTCACTTGTACAGGCCCTTCTCCTGCACTGAAAATGCTTACTCTTATTTCACAATGTGCATTAGAGGCAGCGTCATCTAGTTCTTTCCTCCCCAGCCTGACTGCCCCTGGCCTGCCCCTTTCATTCATTGGATTTAAGCTCTTTCAGTCATGGAGGGTCAGTATCACATGTGGCATTACCTAGGGTGGTCTGCATTCATATACAGCCTCCCTAGGAGCACCCACTCCCTCAAGCTGTGCTCTGCCACCGTAGAAGATGGAACTTGTAGTATTTTCATTGATCGATCCCTATGAAATCGATGACACCGCCATGTGTGAGCTCCTATCGCACGGCAGAGCTGAATTCAAACACTAACAAATCACCTACAGTAAAGCTGGCCATACACCTTACAATTATCTGCAGATTATCTATGGTCAGATGGAAAAACGCAACAGATTCCTCCATCTACTCTAAACTGTGTGGATGGAGGAATCTCCCGCTTCAGTATCTTGCTAGTCTGCGCCGCTGGCTCCCAAAACACCTGATCAATGCCTGCATCCAATCAGATTGTTGAGGTATTTTGACAGCCAGTGGGGCGGACTAGTAAGGTACTGAAGCGGGAGAGTCCTCCATCCACACAGTTTAGAGTAGATGGAGGAATCTGTTGCACTTTTTCCATCTGACCATAGAAAATCTGCAGATAATATCTATAGGTGTATGGCCAGCTTATGAAAGTGCTCCTGTGATTCAGGTGGGGGAAGGAGATTAGGGTGGATGGTGGATGCAACCATCCTTCATGTTATACCCTAAATGTAGCATCAAAAATGGTCTATAAAGTTGATTCTGCCTTCTCCCTTTATGATATTTTGCATTTCTTAGCTTTTCCTGGCCCAGTGAAGGCTACTGGGTCAATCTCAGTCAATGGTCCCCATGACAAAAACAGAGAAGGTGGATTTCCTCAACAAGAACCTAGTTAGCAGTAAAACCTAAAAAGTGGCCGCCATTATTCCCATCGCCCCAAAAAAGGTTTAATCCGAGATTCACTTCATGAACGTGAGCTAGATCAGCCCCACAAGATTACCCCATAAACCCGGTATGCCCATAAACTAGGGATGCACTGATACCGATTTATATTACCGTTACTTCCGGCAGCATGGAGCTGGCTTCCCGGGCAATCAGGAAGCCGGGCAGCGTGTCATTACCCGCCACTCGGATTCTTGATTGCCCAGGAAGCAGGCTCCATGCTACGCACTTTCACTATGGATTCCTCAAAGGCGGAGTGCATTTGTTATCGCTCTGCCAGTGACAGGAGCCGGCGCTATAGAGGAAGCATCGGCTTATGCGGCTCTGCTCCCTCCGGTGCTGCTGGCTTCATTGGCAGCACTCATTCTCTCCCGCGGCTCTTCAAGTTCCCCCTCATGCCACCACCGGCCCTGGGAATGGTCACAACCAGGTCTTATTTTCGGGGTAGGTCTTATTTTCAGGGAAACAGGGTAATTGGCCGGGAAGCCGACATGCCAGCCAATCAGGAAGATTGGAAAAGGGGTCAGTACTGGCTGCCCGGCTTCCTGATTGGCTGGGAAGCCGGCTCCATGCTGATTGGCCGGTAAGCCAGCTTCCCAGCCAATCAGCATCGAGCCTGCTTCTTTGGCCAGGAAGCCAGCTGTTTTTACCTGCGTCCCGGCTTCCTCATTGGCCAGGAAGCCGGCTCCATGCTCCCTCACGTTACTGCCGGTCAGAGGAAATCTCCCTCTCACCGGAAGTTTCGGTATCGGGGGGAAGTATCGGAGCATTTGGCCGAGTAAAAGTACTCGGCCAAATACTCGGTATTGGTGCATCCCTACCATAACCATAAACCCAGGCTTATTACCTGAATGCCTTGTAATACCGGAGCTGGGTCTGTTAGTGTATCTTTATCATCTGTAGGCTGTGTTTGGGTTGCTGTTGTCTTTGGTACCTATAAAGTAAATACAAAATGTAATATACCATTTATAAGCAGCAAAGTGCTGACATCAGAAGTCGCTATGTACAAAGCCTGAAGGTAAATGGTTGGGGCTTCTGGAATGTGTGAATATTGTCATTTTCTTTTCTTGTACACTCACCACCCCTCTAGTGATGTAACATCTACAAGCTGGCATCTTCACCCGGTCTTCTTTCGGGTTCTGCATCTCGAGTGATCTTGATTGGCCAATCTGGGATCATGTAACTCCTGTGCATGCTCATAGGAGTTCATTCATCCCAACACCAAGGCACAAATGTTGAGAATGGGCATTGTACATTTTAATAAAAGTCTGCTAGCAGTCAGTAACCTGTTGTAATTAAAAGTCTACCTGCTAGCAATTTCTTTAAGGGCCCATTCACACCACATCATCTCCAGACCAGACCAGATTGTTTTCGGACCCAAAATGCATCCTAATGTATCCCTATGCTATTTCTGGCCTCTGTTCACACCAGCACAGTCCGTTCCAGACCAGACCAGAAAAATACTGCGTGTCTCATTGTATCTGGTCTGGGATGCACTGGAACTGCAGGCAGGTTCACACCATTTTCCGGATCAGATCTGGTCCAGAAAATTATGTGAACCTGCAATAAAAGAAGAACTAAACTCTGGAACCTGTGCCAAAAAAAGGCAAAACAGATGGCAAAAGACTAGTCACCAGTATTGCCAATGGTCTCCCTGCAGCTGATCTTTTCCCCATTACTGACATACAATACCTCCTTCTGCATTGGGTCTCTGTATGGAGGCGGCCATCTTGGTAGAAGCAGGGCTTTGCTTCCTCATGTCAGAGCCTGTGAGAACAGTGAGCAGTACAATGCTTATATCACTAAATCTCACTCCAAATCTTGTGATGCTAGCAGTCACGGGCAGCAATGCCCAATCACCCACATGCACACTGACATGTAGAAGTGACCGGACGGCTATACAAGCAGGGCACTGAATACCGTGTTTTTACTTTGTTAACTATTTTTCTGTTCTGCTCGGTCCCTCTGAGGGACCGAGAAGAACAGCCGAGCTCAGCGGCATTCGGCTATTCACTCACTGCTGTTCGGCCTCTATAAGAATAGGTTGAACAGCAGCGAGTAGCCTGCCAGAGGTTCGGCTCAGCCGATCCAGTTGTTTAGATCGGCTGAGTCGAACTCCTTCTGCACTTCGGGTCAGCCGAATATGCTGAGCATGTTTGGTCGACCCGAAGCCATGCGAAGCAAGCCGATGTACTGCTGATTTTAGCCGATATATGGCTGAAATCAGCCTGAAGTGAATAGCCGAACAGTGTTCGGCTCACTCCACTTCAGGTCGGTCATTCACTCGGCTGCCTACGGCAGCTTAGTGAATAGACCCTTAGGTCTTATTTTCGGGGGATGTCTTATTTTTACCTGGCTGCAGCTGTCCGCTCTCCGCTCTGATGCCGTCCAGGGAGCCACCAGTCAGAAGTTCCCGACCTCACTGGCCATGCAGCGCTGTGCCTGCTGGGAAATGTAGTTCAGCAGCAGCTGAGGCAGACAGGTGGGCGTGCATGCGGGAGCTCCGGCCGGTCATAACATGTAAAATTCTATTATATGTGCAGCTACCCCGAAAATAAGACCTAGCGCTATCTTCAGGGATTTCTGTAATAAAAGACCTACCACTGAACTAGGTCTTATTTTCGGGGTAGGTCTTATATTACAGAAATCCCTGAAGATAGCGCTAGGTCTTACTTTCGGGGTCGGTCTTACTTTCGGGGAAACACGGTAGGAGGAATGTACAGACCCCATGGGCATCACAACAGCCAACTGAGGTAGCATACATGACAGGCTTAGCAACTCTGCAGGCTGTGAGGCAGTGGTATACCAATGTCATCCTGCAACAGGAAGCGCTGTTACAGCCAAGATCTTCAGATAAGAATCTTTGCAACAGATTAACAAAACAAATACCTTCTGACGAACACTGGATACAATGAGACACGATGCCAAACATACTGAGAAAAAAGATTTAGGCTTTGCATATACTTTAAAACGGTTTGCGCCATCACACGCATTATACAAGTGATAGCCACTCTCACCTCTACAGTCGGCATGGGGGGTAGGATGGGTTTGGGTTTTATATCTGTCAGATAAAGTGCTCGTGACAGGAGTAGGAGAGATGGGGGAACGTTCTCCTTCAGATGCAGTTCCAACCACTAAAAGAAAGAAACAGGAAGCATAAGCAACGATGTGACAGGTCCAAATGCCACAAGAATGAAGGTGTAATAAACAGATCTGGGTGTGCTGCACATAGTTATAATTAAAGGAGAAGTATTGGGAGAGTCAAACATGTCACATGCTGGGTATATAGATCAAGAACTGAGCAATCTTCTCCCTGCAGAGGAGCGGTGACTGTTAGTCACCACCCCCACAGGGAATTCCCCCTCCCCTCTCTGTTCCTCCAGCACTCATTGGAGGAACAGACAGGGGAGGGGGCGGGCACAGCTGGCTCTAGAGAGGCAGAGCCAGCTGTCAATCAGGCAGCTTGGTGGATCCTGACAAATGTTGTAGAGATCTTTTCTGGCTGCAATACATCAGTAGCCCGCTAGATGCTGACTTTGACCAGAAGTTTGGGTCACAGGAGGACATAGTAAATGTACATCTTTGACACTTTAAAGAGAACTAAAGCCAAACTTTTTTTCTTTGTGGCTTTAGTTCTCTTTTAAGAGACTAGATTATGAAAGTAGTTACTATGGGCAACACAACTCGTTCTACTTTCAGAAAGACAGGCATATGGCTCCATTAGCCTTCTACCTGCTTCATCTGATCTTTGAGCTGTTCCTCTGTCAGGCCTAATGAGCGCATCCCTCGGGTCCTGCTGGCTCCCTGAAGCTCAGCCACGGTCAGAACGTCCACCCCTTCCTTTGATATCATCTGCACACCAAAAACAAGAGAACACATTAAACATCACCAAACTTCAGTGATCTGAATTGTGATAACACATGTAACCATCATACAAAACATGATTTATGTGAGGCAACATTATACAGCTGCAAGAACTGACATCCCGCTCCCAGATCTCCATAGGTAATGATGGCGCTAAAGATTTACCTTATACCCCCATGGCAAAGATTTAGTCAGTTAAACACTTGATGACGAGGTGTTACACCCCCTTCCTGTCCCGGCCATTTTTTTGTATTCATCGCTGCGGTACTTTGACATGTAATTGTGTGGCGGTGCCATCCGCAGTCATTTCGAGCACCCATCTTCATCAAGTGGGAATCCCGGTAAGGAGTGCGGTATGGTTCCTGTTTCTGTTTATTCAAGCTTTAAAATTGCACGCGCCCGAGAAATCGCAAAAAAACTACCATCCCCAAAATTGGCCATAGGCGACGCTTTAAAAGCTTTTACCGCTCATCAGTTTAGTGTTATCCGTGATTGATGGGCCGAAAATTATTGCTCAGACTCCAATGTTTGCGGCCATATGTAACATGTGTGGCATAATTTTTGTTTTCACATACAGGCGCACCAGACACGTATTTACGTTCATTTGTGCGCGTGGGGACGGGGGACTTAATAATTTTTTTTGTTTTTACACTTAAAACAGGTCCTCTTTATGCTATCACATAGGGGGCTAACAAGAGAATGTAGTACCACGTGGTTTTCTGGGGTCAGGAAGGAGGTTATATAATGACTGTGCGCAGAGCGAAGGCAGGAAGTGGTGCGCAGAGCGCCGGCAGGAAGCGGTGCCCAGAGTGATGGTCTGCAAGCAGAAAGCAGAGTAGAATGTTACTGTCTGGAGACAGGAAAGAGTGTGCAAATAGATGGCCTTCAGTTAGGCAGCAGGGTACAAAGTGACTGCAGGCAGAAAGCAGTGTAGAAAGTGACAGTCTGCAAACAGGAAGCAGCGTGCAGAGTGACAGTCTGGAGACAGGAAGCAGCGTGCAGAGTGACAGTCTGGAGACAGGAAGCAGCGTGCAGAGTGACAGTCTGGAGACAGGAAGCAGCGTGCAGAGAGACAGGCTGCAAACAGGAAGCAACGTGCAGATAGAAGGTCTGGAAATTGGAAGCAATAATCTGAAGGAAAAAAAATCAATGCGAATGTGTAAAATACACAGAAGAGATGAAGGTTCCCGGAGCTCACCTCATCATCTGCTCGTATGGACCGGAGCGTCATAAGCAGCTGGAACCGTAGTAAGTTATTGGTGCCAATTGGTGGCAGTTCAAGTAAGCGGCACAGAGCTGCCAGCTGAGACCTTTCCAGGTGCTCCAGAGTCAGCTCGTCCTCGAACAGCTTGGAGAATCGCACAATTTCCTGTGTGGAGGGCTGAGCGCCGGTGACCCGGACCTGCAATGACAAGACACACCGTCAGCTTTATTTTGCCTATATCATATGTAACAAATGTCTCCTCCTACCGAAAGACAAATCACACCTGCTGAACATAAGATGAGAACTGCTGCTGTCCGTCTCCTCCGGTCTCGGCCTTGTTCCTCCGTGCCATCTCCGAGATCGTCTCCTGAAGGAACTTGGCCATTTCCAGTTTGGCGCCGAGTTTCTTCTTCATCTTTTCCTCCTGAATGTCCGGAAAAGACACAAATCACATTTAAGGGGATCTTCCATGTAAACAATGCTGAAAAATAGAGAAGTAACTACAGGTAGCAGATAATATTTTTGTGATTTACTTTCACGGTGACGGAGCCCGGACTTAAAGTGCAACTGAAGCCAAAATTGTTTTTTAGATTTGGAGAGAGGAGAGAGGGGTTAGAGCACGTGTCAGGTTTTTACTACTGTCTGTGTCCAAGTTAGAAAATTCACCCCCCCATCATGTGACCTGGTGACCGAAAGTGAAAGAAAACCCCACATTTTGGGTTGTCACCAGAACAGGAATAGATGGAAAAACTTCCAATGGGGACACTAGTTCTGGTGACCACCATGGATTTCACTTTGAAGAATTTCATTTAATAGTTAGAACGGTTAAGGTCTGGAACTCGCTGCCACAGGAAGTGATCTCAGCTAAGAATGTGGAATCATTCAAGAAACTCCTGGATGATTTCCTTGGAGACCATAACATAAAGGGGTAAAGGTACTGCTAGGAGCAAAATCACACATGGACTCATACACACGCACATACCAGCTCAACCATAAATACATACACGAAATAGGTTGGACTTGATGGACTTGTGTCTTTATTCAACCTCAAATACTATGTAATTTCCTGCAGTGGTTATGGGACAGGAAGTGAACGGAAAACCCCCCAATGGGACACAGATGGCAAAATATTATGACGGGTTTTAACCCTCCCTTACTCTGTTCAAAGTTTTGGCTCCAGTTCTACTTAAATAGCTAAGCTTCACCAACCGTTATGAATACTAATGAATAGGGGGAGAGAGCTCAGTTCCCACAGAGAAGCTTGTGCACAAGAGAAGCATAGCATTGTGGAAAATGTAGTTGTCCATGCCCTACATTGTAGTTCCTGCTGTGCACAGCAGAGTGTAATTTACACAGACTGCCTGCAGAGCACAGAGGCGGCCTTCTCAGAAAGGAGTCATGAGGAGATGAAGAGGACAAAAAAGTTTCTGTGTTCATATACAGCAACTGCATATGCCTGCTTCATGTACAATCGGGTGTACAATGCTGGCATATGTTTTTCTTCTAAATACCTCCGCAAAAGTGGAAATGGGCTTTAAGGGATAACTATGGGGTTAAGTCTTTTCCCCATACTTCTCCTAAGGGTAACGGGAGGACACAAACTAGCGTCCTCCCGTCACCCTAAGCTCAGTATACCGCGAGCTACAGCTTGCGGTATACTGAGATGCCGCAGCTGGGACGGATCCCGACAATTATGTCTGAATCCGCCCGGCTGCGTGAGTGACAGCTGGCTCTGCCTATCTAGAGGCAGAGCCAGCTGTACCCGCCCCCTCCCCCCGTCCGTTCCGCCAGTCAGCGCTAGAGGATCGGAGCGGGGGAATCCAGCCCCTCCCCTGTCACGGCAGAGAGCCATGACCGGATCAAGAGGTGAGCGAATGCCGGTATGTGTTCGCTCACCTCCCGATCTACTGAGCCGACCTGTGACAGTCTCATTGTCACAGGTCGGCTAGAACTATGAGGTCAGTGAAAATCACCCCCCTCATAGTTCTCCTTTAAAGTGATACCCCCAGGTATCTGACCTCCCCAGCCAAGATGCTTTTTACTAGAAAAAAAACATCCAAATAACTTTTTTTATTCTGGTGGCAAGGGGGGCATTCATTCAGGACTGAGCGGCGCCCATATAATGACACGAGCACTGCTACGTCCTGGAGTACTGTGATGCGTGATGACGCACCTCCTAGAGAAGCATGCAGACAGGCTGGTCATGGAAATGGGCGGAATGACAGAGTTTCCTTCTGTCCTGAAGAGGACCTCTGGTGCCGGACCGCGCAGGAAGTTGGGTACAACGCTGGAGTGTGGCAAAGATCAGTTAACATTGGGAATATTGTTAATTTATGCAGGATGGGGGGGGTTCTAATTTAATATCACAAGATTTTCAAGCAACACTAAAATATCAGAATAATGAAATGATGACGGTCACGCATTGCATTCTCCTACCAGTGACCGATAAAGACGTAGGAATGATGTGCTTACTTTTTCCACATCTAATGAGACGTGTCAATTCAAATAT